TATGCTCTCCTTGAATTATAAAAATATACATAATTTAGCAGCAGAGCAATAAATACATTATATACTGCATTTGGTATATAGTTTTAAATTCTTTTAGCTCCACCACAGCTTTTTAAAATTTGTAATAGCTTTCCAAGCTATTTGCCCAAATAAAAACTAAGCTACAGATTTAAATCAGCCACATCACAAATTCATTGTTGTGACCTTTGTTATAAATTAAAAACGACAAAAACTTTGTAGCACAGAGAGAGAGGCAAGGTTTGTGTATCTGATTCATGGAGTGTAAGTCAAGCAGCTCACAAGCTAAATTACAGGCTGGATAATTAATTTGTTTTCTGGTTAGACTTGGCATCAAAGCAAGCACATTTCTAAATTGTGACAGATCTCCTCTGGTATTCAGTACACATCCTTTTATTTGGTTCCAAATGGGGTAGGAAGGACCTTTTCTCCCTGCTTTGATTAGTGTTAACAGGACACTGAACATTTTATCTTTGAATTATTTCAGACATTGGAAACCAAGGTCCTCACTGGGATAAGCATAGAAATACCCAGGATGAAATGCTGACCTAAAAAATTTCTGAAGATTTATTGTGTGTCTTTACTTTTGATACTTTCTTTGCAGTCAAGGAATGTTTTTGCCATTGGTATTAAGGGACGTTACCCGAGAAAATGCATGGCTTGAAAGAATATATTGGTTTATGACTTCATCTCAGTGTAATAGATCCCCCTGCTTCTTCATGAATTATTCCTGTATAGTTGTACAAGCTGCCAGCAGTTTTCTATCATCATAGCTTCTTGGTACCCTGCTACAGCAGAACTCCTGGTCACCTGCCCAGAGAACGCAAAAGTATTTATGTTCTGAGCAGCATTAACATACAGGTTTTGAGGAGAATCTTACAAAGTCACAGAACAGCTGAGGTGGGAACGGACTGCTGGAGGTCACCTGGTCCAACCCCCCTGCTCAAGCAGGGCCACCTACAATAGGCTGCCTGGGACTGTGTCCCGATGGTTTGTTAATACCTCCAAGGAGGGACACTACACAACCACCCTGAGTAACCCGTGTAGCACTTGGTCACCCTCACACTGAAGAAGTGTTTCCTGATGTTCAGAAGGAACCTCCTGTGAGCAGTTTATGCCCATTGGCTTTGGTCCTGGCACTGGGTACCACTGGAAACAGCCTGACTCCATTCTCTTTGCATTTACCCTTCAGGTATTTATAGGCATTGATGAGAATCCCTGAGCCTTCTTTTCTCCAGGCTGGACAGTCACAGCTCTCTCAGCCTTTCCTCTTACAGAGAAGTCCCAGTCCCTTCAACATTGCCTCTAATCATCTCCCATAAATCTGCTGATCTGACTTTTTGTATTTTCTACACAATGTTGCCTCTTAATGTAGGAATCTTGTAGCCCATGGCCTTCCTCTGCAAAATCTTCTTCACTTCTGTTTGGTTTAAGGTCTCTTTACTTATCTCTGTACCAGATAAAAAGCATAAAGAAAGAAATATTCTGCAAGTACCAAGAAATCTTACTTTTATAAATAGCATCTATAATTGCATTAAAATAACTTCAAAATCTACCAACTAAAAATCCTCTCAACAAGACTTACATGTACCAATGTCTATGCAGATAAGTCTGTCAAGACATTTTCTATCTACTATTCAGTTGATTCTGTCTAACTACTACAGAATTACATGCTTGTGCTTAGTTCTATTAGGCTATTACACAGCCACAGTGGAGAGGCATTTATCCTCAACATTTACAGTTAAAATGTGGAAGAAAGCCAAGTGCCAGTAGTCAAAGATTTCTTGAGTGCTAAAAATTCAAACAGTGACATGGTGGGATTTTCAGAAATACCAATCTGTGTCTCACAGTTGTTACAAAATAATCTTCCATGATACATCACATTGTATATTACCAACAATCTCTTTCTAGGTTTATTGAAACTCAGCTTTTTTTTTCTTTTTTTACTGGTAGCCTAACACTATCTACTGCAGAACATTTTTCGCCTCAAAATTTTGTCTTAACAACGTAAAACAGAAGAGAGCGCTATAAGAACCTCAGGATAACACTCATATTTTCTTGTACCACATTAGAGCATAACAGCAAGACTTTCACTACATGCCTATTAACTTCTGTATTTGAAGAGAAACAACAGACTTTTTAAAAAGATGGGCCTGTACAGGAAATGATAATAGAACTTGCACTTCGTTTTCCAAAGGCACCATTGCTGCCACCTACAGATGAAATAGATTCATAGCTCCTGCTAAATAACTGGCACCTTACTATTTCTGAGTAATCAACAGGTAAAATTCAGATAAATAATTTCAGAAACCTTCTCTAAACTCAGAATTGTCTTAAAAGTAGAAAACCACTTAAATACGCAATTTGCCTTGGGTTAGGTAGTAACTTCTTCTAAGGACGCAGCAACTAAAGACTGAAAATGGGTTGAATGTACCAACAAATAGCTACAAATTAAGCACAATAGGGCACTTCAGGATTAGGTAAATTCAGGTCTAGTCACAGTTGCTTATAAAACAATATAGAGACAAATTATATGGGATGAGATTGGAATATTTTGTATAGGGTTTTCTTGCTTACTTCAGCAGCACACCTGCATACAAAAAGGCTTCTTTCCTTTGACCTGAAACATCCTTTCTGTTGTCTGTAGTTAATGCTTTAATGAGCTTGAAAATAAAAAATAAATGCAATGGGTTTATATCTCAAATAAGTAAATAGATATTCTAAATCTCAAATAACTAAACATTTATTATATAAATCAAAGAAATTGTCTTGAAGGCCTAAATATAGGGATTATCAGCATCAGTGGCACATTTTCTGTCTGTGGCTTTTGTGATGCTAACCAATTAACAGCTGCAATTGAAGTCCATGTCCAGGAGTAAATTTTTTTAATTACTGCATGATATAGGCCTGCATAAGGTACTGCCTGGCAAGTCACTTGTGCATCATGAGGCAAGGTATTTGGCTGCATGGGTGACTGCAAGGTAATGCAGCTGATGGGTTAGCAAGCACTTTAAATGTAGCTAAACTAGCACTGAAGACACAGCCTAGAAGCAAGCTTGCTGTTGGTCCCTGGACAGCGAAGGTGCGTCACTGCTGTCTGGCCAAGCAGTATTTGTTCTCTGACCTTTGAGGCCAGCTGAAAATCTGAGTTGTGAGCTGATACCAGCAAGTGCAGCATGGCTAGGCAGGCAGCAGGACCTACCTCAGAGCTGCCTCCCTGCCTTGTGCCATCCCCTGCCTCGCACTGCCCAGGAAGCCAAAGGCATCAGGAGGATCTGTGCCAAACCAAGAACCAGTTCCCAACACGGGAAGGAAGAAAAATAAGCAGTGTTAGAGTGGGGAACACCAGTTTGTCATGCATGGCAAGATGCAGACATTTGTTAGTATCTGAAGCTTTTAATAGCACATCACCTGGCATGTATTGCATGTATTACCTGTCCACAATAGCATTTAAGTCCATTTAAAAAAAAAATTAAACTTTGAATTTTCATGAAGTTACAAAGTTCTGTTGAAGCCACAAAGTTTTGTTTTTCAGTTCCATGCTGTGCACTGAGTTGTTTGTTTCTAGTAAGGCTTTTGGAACTTTGCCTATCAAGATCATGTTTGGTGATTTCTGTCCCTTCAGAAGAAAGTGAGAATCTGTTCTGTTTGCCCATGTAAATCCTAGAAATGGCCCTAGATCACACATAAGTGTTGCACCTCTATTTTCACATAATGAAAAGAACATTTAAGAAAAAAATATGCCACCACCAAATACTTTTTGTTCTTTGTATTGCTACGATCATCTTAGAAATTTACATTTATTTGTTATAGGTAACATATGGGATCTAATATAGATATAAATCAATCAGATAATATTTGAAATTCTAATATTGGTAACGTTCCCATAATAATATTACCTGCTTTTATTTCAGGTTAAATTATGTTTATTCTTCATTTACAGGTGGTTTAAGGTGAGAACAAGCCTGCCCTAATTTCTTTAACAATGTCAATTGAAAGGCAAATAATTGGGGGGTTTCAGAAGGGACACTGCAAAGCCAAACAGGTGAATTTCAGCACCTTGCAGACTCTAGAATGAATGCTGTTTGCAAACACAATATTACTACCTGACAGTGACAAAATTTCACAAAATCACAGAATGGCTGAGGTGAGATCACTGGAGGTCATTTGGTCCAAGCCCCTGCTCCAGCAGAGCCACCTAGAGCCAGTTGCCCTGGACCATGTCCCGATGACTTTTGAGTATCTCCCAGAATGGAGACTCCACAACCTCCTTTGGGCAACCTGTGCCAGTTCCTGGTCACCCTCACAGTAAAAAAGCGTTTCCTGATGTTCAGAAGGAACATCCTGTGTTTTGGGTTGTGCCCCATTGCCTCTGGTTCTGGCACTGGGCACCATGACAGGACAGGCAGCAATGGCCCTGTGACAGAGCCTAGCTCTGTCCTCTGTACACCCTCCCTTTACGTATTTATATACACTGATGAGATTTTCCTGGGCCTGCTCTTCTGCAGGCTGGACAGTCCCAGCTCTCTCGCCCTCTCCTAACAGAAGAGATGCTCCAGTCCCTTCATCATCTCACTGGCCCTTCACTGGACACTCTCCAGTAGCTCTCCATTTTTTTTTTAAATGCTGAATCCAAAATTGCTCCTATATGCCATACAGGAGCATATATAGCTCCTACATACTCTGTAAGTGGGCACCTTCCTGGAATATACAGAAGGTGCAGCTGCCCCTGCAACAAATTTCTCTGGAAGAATCCTGCAGAGCCTGGACCTGCCTCTCACTGAGCAGCAGCGAGGCACCGACCGGGAAAAAGAGGACTGAATTCTACTGAGAACTGTTCTCCACGAAGGATAACTTTATCCCAGTGGATCACCACGGCGTTCGTTGGCAGAGGCCGAGTTTCAGGCGAAGCCCGGCGGCCGCCCCGCCTGGGCCGCGGGCCGGGAGGAGCCGCCTCACGGCGGGTTCCCCCCAGAGCCGGGCGGAAGGCGCCGCGACCGGGCACCGGGAGGCGGAGCACGGGGAATACAGGCTTCCGCCTTCCCGCCCGCTGGCCTTGTGAGGGGAGGGGAGCTGGGAATTCGGGAGGATTCGCTGCAAGGATGGTGTCGCTGCTGCCGCGCATCGAGCGCCTCTCGTCGCGGGTGGTGCGGGTGCTGGGCTGCAACCCGGGGCCCATGACTCTGCAGGGCACCAACACCTACCTGGTGGGCACCGGGCACAGGTACCGACCCTGCTCGGGAACGGGGCAGGGAGAAGGGGACCTGGCGGCGGAGATCGTCTCTCTTTCCCCAGCCGCCGGTCGCTTCCCCTGCCCCGCCGCGGGGCTGTGCGCTGCCTCTGGAGCGAGAGGCGGCTGCCGGCCTGTTCACAAGTCCCTTAATTAGGGTGAGAAAGAGGAAAGAAACACTGAAGCGTTAGATTTTCGGGGCAGGTGCCCGGAGGTGGCTTGGACAGGTGGGGTGTGGAGCCTCGGCCGTGCGACACTTGGGCGGAGGCCGGGAATTCCCTGAGGGAAGCGGGTGGGAACCTCAGGCCGCGCAGCTCCCCGGCCGTACTAAAAGATGGTTCCTGCTACTTGTCCCGGAGTTGTAAATGTGTGGGCTATGTTTATTATTTATCTCAATTTTAAATTGTCTTGACGGGGGGTTGGCATATCGGGAAGAAAGAGATGGCGTGTGGATATGGAGACATCAGTTATTGCAACATTTCCATGCAATGTTGTCTTCTTCTATTATTTTTTGTGTTTCAAAAGAACACTCTTAATTCTGTGCTGTTTGTATGCCCCTCCCTTTTTTTGTCCGTGTGTAGAAGAGTCCTTATTGACACCGGAGAGCCAGCTATTCCTGAATATATCAGCTGTTTAAAGCAGGCACTGTCAGACTTCAATGTCTCTATTCAAGAAATTTTAGTGACACACTGGCATCGTGATCATACCGGTGGAATACCTGATATCTGCGAAAACATCCCGAATGGTAAGCCAGAGGTTTCAGATATTGAAATCTCATTTCATAATAACATTGAAAATGTTAGATACGTGGCAAGTGAAAAACATTAACTGAATGCTTCTGTGCAAAACAGCGGGATTATTCTTCTGGAATCTTCATATAAGATACATGTACTTTCATGATACTGTTGCAGTGTATTGAATGAGAGCAATGAATAATCTGAATATTGTATTTATAGTACTACAGTTTTTCTTCAGTGCCTGTGCATACCTTCATAGTGATTTTTTCTTATATGTGAGTAATGAGAACTTAGATTACCATCAGCAGTTTACGTGGTATTAAGTGATGTGAGAAAAACTTGATAATCCTTCCTTTTTACATTGACTGCAGTGACAAATTGATTGTTATTTTCACTTGTGTAAAAACAAATAACTTGAATTTTGAAAAAAAACCATGCATAACTTTGAGATTCCTACAGGAGCCCACTAATAATTGCTGGCAAATTCGTAGGCCTCAGATCATGAGGGGAAAGTGGTAGGGCAGTCCACAGGTAAATTCTGATCTAAAAATGTGTTTTTCATATTGATAAACAGTAGAAGACATTTCTGCTTTGGTACCTGGGAAGAGAATAAGCAGTATGGATAATGCAGTAATTCTTAACATTGTTGAACTTTATCATGAACTTTGTCACAGGCTTTATTTTGTAAAACTGCTAAGTACTTTTCTGCAAAGAAGCCTGGGCACTACTGAAAACAGCTGGTGTCTTGGTGAGGATTTTGGGCTTGTCAGCCCATGAGTGTGGTTGTAAAGACTAGGAAGGAATATAAATGCCTTTCTGGGTTCTTATCCATAGGTGTTCCAGCCAAGGCATGCACAGTTCAGAACAATAAAAGCTAAGGGAAGTTGCAGCTCAAAAAAGTCTCCAGTTTTAGGCAAATGTTGAATCATAATGAGAATGCGAGTGCAGAAATCGTAGTGGTGTTGTAAAAGTTTATGCAGGGTGGCTCTTGATGACTCAAGAAGGAATATTTGTAAAATATTGTAATTACTGACCTTTTAATTTCATTTCTGATTGTTTTTTTCATCTTCTAATTTGTTGCTGGTACAGAGTACAGTATTCAGAATCAGTGGCTTTCTCTATTCTTTACAAACATAAAGTTACTATACAGAATTTATTGTTTCTAGTTTTGTATTTGTACTGTGTGATAAGTAATAGTACTCATTAAAAAAGTAACCTTTCTGTGGAATTAGGTTTGTTAGTGACAAATTCCAAACATCAATTTCTTTACTTTCTTTAAATATTAGACTCAGGATATCGCATCTGTAAGCTCCCTCGTGTCCCTCACTGTGAAGAAACAATAGAAGGAGGACATAAATATTTTTATCTTAAAGAGGGTGATGTGATACAGACAGAGGGAGCCACACTCAGGTAAACACCAATTTCTGCAAGTTCTTTTTTCTTCAGAATTCTGACACGTACATGTATCCTAATTTCTATGACTGCAAACCCATACATCTAGTCTTTTCATCACTTACACATGTGGACTTCCTGTCATAATCCAGCAGGTATGTTAATACAAAGAAATCGATTTTATGAATAAGAATTGTCAGGAATTAGCCTTTAGTCTTTGGACTCAGCAGAGAAAATTCGGAACATTTCCCTAGGAAAATATTTTCTTTGGGAAAATCAAATAAAATTTTACATACTTTCTTATCACTCTTACATAAGTACTTACTATTAAAATTGATACTTTTGTGAAAATGTATGGTAGTCTGGATGGATTATTTAGCATGCCTTTCTCTTTACTTTAAAAATATTTCCCAAGGAGACACTAAAACATTTAATACTTAAAATGTTAAATTTTAAACCTTGAACCTATGAGGTTCTTGTAGGGTGCCAGTCTGGGAGAACTTCTTCCCAGGGAGGATATTACCTGTAATGTTAGTTTGAATGAGTGTGAAACAGAAAGCCACTCTGCCTCATGGAAGCACACACACAACAAAAGGTCTGATCGTTCTCTCTCCAGGCTCCTTTCATTAACAAGGCATTACACTTCTAAGGACAAAGTTTGCTTGTTTTCCTCAGTTTAGCTGGGAATTACATCCCAACTTGCAGAATGTCAGTTGGTTGATTGGAAGAAAAAAAAAAGCCAGATTTTTTTTAAAAAAGGGTATTTTTAGGACATATTTGTCCAAAAGCATTTTATTTTTTTAGTGTAAAAAAAAAATTAATAAAAAGAGTATTATATTGCATATTGAAGACCTTTCACTTCCCTAAGTGGCCCATGTTTGGTCAAAAATTTAAAGATGTAAAACAACTTTTTAAATTTCAATCCTAGTAGGACAAGAGTGGCACATTTTGAAGTTTGAGGTAGTGGAGGACCAGGCCTAAGCGTGTTTTGTCTCAAACATTATGACTGTCACGACAAGAAAGTTATGATTGGCAGAGAGGATCCCATGGAAGTGGGGCAGCACTGAGGCAGTTCCGAGCCAACTTCCTTTTCTGCCTTCAGACTCATGCCTGCATCAGTCCCCCACCCCAGCTGCCTTCCTGGAGGGCTCAAACAGGCTGGCTGTGCTGTTGTGGGAGTTGGGAGTTTGTTGTAAAAATACAGGGCTATTTAGCCAACACCTTTGAGAAGTTTGTTGTGAGGAATGGGAGTTTGTTAAGTGTGTTGTCAAAGTTAAGTGGTTGTTAGCCAACACTTCTGGGACTAAACAGTGGGCTAGTTCCCAGGGTTAAGACGATTATACCACTAAGCACAGGAGTTCCCTATCATGTGTCTGGTGTCTTTGTTCAGCCTGGTGAGAATTTATAATAGACATCACAGCCCCTATGGAGTCATGACAGGGGTAATGCATCCAAACTTCGTGCTTGGTTAAAAGCAGGTAAGCTCTTTAAGAATACTCTCAGATCCACCGCTGGTCCCAAGATAGCAGTATCTGCATGTTAAATTTTAGTTAGCAACCTTCAAGTTTTCAAGGTGAGCCAGGCAGTGCTGGGTTCATTTTCCATTGTTTTTCCATGTTAGTGGTTTCCTGGTAAAGTTTCATCAAGAACTGGAGGATAACACTTCCCACAAAGGCAAGATACAACCCATCATCTCGATTTTGATGTTGCTTCCATAGGGTGATGGCTCACCTGCTTCCTTCTGAGCTCAGTAGGAAGGAAATCATTGCGTTGGATGGTGCTGCACTTGTGGTCTCCTAGCCCTGGCTGGGAGCTGTTTAGCCTTTCCCTGTATGCCGTGCTTGGCACCAGCTCTGGCAGTTCCTGATCACTGCTTTGATGCATCTGCCATTAACAGGAAGATTGTGACCAGTTTCAGCAGTGGTGCCATGGGAGCTGTGTTACTCTCAGTCTGCATCAGCCTCAGCGTAAGGCCTTCTGCCTTTCAGAAATCCTAGTGAAAGAACACCACAGTGCAGCTCCTTGGCAGCTCAGGTTACCAGATATACACACATATCCACTGTCCCTTTGTGGCATGCTAATGCAGTGCTGATTCAAGATGTGGGTCCTTAGTCTTTACCATTCAGATGTTTAATGACCTGCACATAGAACAGCTAAAAGACCATGGTTCTTTGTATTTGATGGCTCTGCTCCTCTGTGCCATGGGGCTTTCAGGGAAAAATAAATTTTGAGAGATTTAACTTTATCTGGGTCAGGTTCAGAAATTTAGAGTTAATTTCTAAAGGAATAGACATCATCATTAACCTTGTTGCTAAGTACAAGGTGTATGTCAAGAATGTCATGCTTTTCAATTTGGAAATAATATTTGAATCTTTCTTTTTGAAAGCTTCAGAGTAAAGCCCTCTAAAACAGAAGTTGTACACGGCTAGTCAGCTCCCTTAATGCACTTGTATTATGATGTGTCATGTAAGTAAAAGCATGTCAATAAGTAAAGTTAGAGATGATGATCTGTGTTCCCTACCTGGTATAAGGAAATGGACTGGGATTAGACAAAGTGTCACCCTGGTTACATGAACTTTTCAGCCTTATTTTGGTCAGTTTTTTTCTGATTCTTGTGGGCTGCTTTGCAAGTGTGTGATTTTATTATTATTTGTTCTTGCTTCAAAAATTAAGCATATTTGCTGTATGAAAAACTTATGCTTTTTTGTTGTTGTTCTTTAAACAGAGTTTTATATACACCAGGACACACTGATGATCACATGATTTTACATCTAGAAGAAGAAAATGCTGTATTTTCCGGTGACTGTATTTTAGGAGAAGGAACAACAGTAATTGAAGACCTGTATGATTACATGAAAACTTTGAAAAGGTTGTTAGAAATGAAACCAGATTTGATATATCCAGGTAAGTGGTTCTATTTTTAACTTCTTTCTTTTACTGTGTAATTTTGAAGTATGTCCTCCAAGAATTTGAGAACTCTTATTACAATCAAACACCATTCCTGATGTAACAATTCAAGTTCATTACTTAATAAGCACTAAGCTAAGATGACTTTATGGCATGGTGGTTTGCAAGACTTGAAAATTCGTAGTGATAGGTATCTTTCCTTCCTGAAATTTCTCCATTTGAGGGTGAATCTTGTGTTTCTGTGCCCAAAGCCTCCAGAGGCCAGAATCTTTCACTGTTTAAATTATACAGCAAATTTAGTTTTCTTATATTACCATATCCATGTGTCTTAATGTTACCCTGGAAATAATAATTATAGTTGTTCTTTTGGTCCTTTCCATCCCCACATATTCTGCTGCTGTGAGTACCTAGTAAAGTTTTTTGAGAGAGATGTCTGTCCCTTGCAACACAGATTAATCACAAATTCATCTTGAAAAGCTGCAGAACTGTGAAATGGTTGTCTTAATTAATGACTTAGGTTAAATTTGAACAAGAGCCAAACATGTTCTAAAAATAAGTTGCCGATTCACTCAGTCTGTGACTTTTCTTTAATTTTTTTCCTCTCTTTCCTGCAAACCTTGGGAATGCATTTACTTTTCCTATAAATCATGTGTCTGTTTGACAAGACTGCATTTTAAGAACTCATTATGTAACAAAGGTTTAAGCTCCTCATTTGCTTTCTCAGAGCTACATCTCAGGATTTTTTTCTGCCTTTTTTCTGTTTCATCATCTTCAACTTGTCATTCTGAGCTACTGTGTCTACATTCTCAGTCCTGTCTTGTTCCCATTAACCATCTATGTTTAGCCTACTGTCTTGTCTTCACTCTTAAAATAGCCTTCTTTTGAAGTAGGTGTCCTTTAAGTGCTTTAAGATCTAAGCATAAAAATGCTATTTAAGAAAAACATCATTATAGATATTCCATGGACATGGAGGCTGATGTAGTCAGAATAGCAACTTGGTCATAGTTATTGACTTAACTTCTATTAAAACTAAAGATATTTTAGCTTCCAGAATCTCACTCAAATGTTCTACTCTCTTTCAGTCTGTTCCTCTAATTCAGTTTCTGCTTTCCAAAAGTCCATATATGCCAAATTCTATTTTGTTTATCAGTTTTGTCTGTTGTATTTCACTCTGTTCTTAATGGTTATGTATCTAGATTACACATTCACCCAGGCTGAATATTTGTGCCTTTTATATGTAACTGCTACTGTTGTAACTGTGCTTCTACTGTACTTGCAATTAGGAAGCCAGTGTGATATTGTGCATTTTCAGTGATGAGTAGCCAAGTATTGAGTTGGTTCAAAATTAACTTTCTTTTTTCATCCATGCACCACAAAGTGTATGTGCAGTTGGGTAGAAGATGGTTATTGCTCAATCAGAACAACTGTTTATGCTGTTGGATAAGTACAGCAGAAGGTAGTTTGCTTTACTACACATTCTATGTAAGTTGAGAACTTCGTCTGTACTGCAGTTTTAGATCTTCATAATTTTTGAACTGTTCTTCTGTTCCCCATCCATGCCTTAGCACTCATGTGGCAGCCTCAGAATTAGATGAATTTTTGTAACAAGCTGACTGCTGGCTAGGTGTGAGTAGCTGAATTTTGCCAATCATTCCCCTTCCGTGCTTCTTTTTGAATTTAATGTAGAAGTGACTCAGGCAGAATACTCATGACATCTACTTACAGTCCGTATTTGATGAGAATCCTTGGGACAAGAAAAGAGCATTTTAGTCAGCAGAGGGCTCCCCATCCTGTAATAATGAACAATATTCCTTCATAATACAGAAAAAATGGTACTGGAGTTAGGAATCTATGCAAAATTTCATGAGCCAGTTGTTTTCTTCAGTTCTATCCTTTGTGCTGTAATTTAAGGTAAGAGTATCTGTATTATTTCACAGTGTGTTACTGGAAAATAATATGAATCTGTCTGATATAAATTCGTGGAATGACAGTCATATTTTGAGAGTGCTTTTCGTGTGCTCAGAAACGTTTTACATTTATTCAGATATAAATCCATTTATGGATGAAGTTAACTATATTGCTGTCCTGGAAAAATGATGGATGGGAAAGATCCACATCTGGATTTAGTTCATAGATTTCTGACATCATTTTAATGTATGTATATGCATACACAACAGCTAGGGATCAGATGATGTAATGCATATGAAATGCCTTTAACTTTGCAAAATGTGGATTCCATTTCAGGTCCTGACATTGGTCCTGTAGTCTAAGTCAATTAAATCACTTGGAAGCGTGGGGACAGCTTTTAAGATGCCTTGTGATTCCATGTGCAGGCCTCACTTTTGATTGCTTTAATGAGACTTCTGCCCTTAGAGAATGCAAGAGAATGGACAGTTACTGTTACAGTCTCTGCTTTGTATACCCTTTAGTGTGTTTTTTCTAAATTTAAAGTTTTGGTTTTATAAGTGGTAACAGTGTTATATTTGTAATTTACTTTGTAAGGGACAATAGCTTCAGATTAAATATGTTTGAAATCATTAAATATAAATGCATATGGCAGTATAGTTTTATATTTGCACATTACATATCTTATATTTATAATACTATATTTACACAAGGTAAGCTTCAAGCTATATTTAGTAATTTCAGATGTGCTGAAGTGAGTGTATAAGTTGAATTGTGTATATTTTGACTTATGGAAGAACAGATTCCTTTGACACTTTATTTCACAGATATTCAAAACATGAAAAACTAATTGCTCTTTTTCTATAAGCTGCCTGTCCTCAGGCAAAATGAGCTTTAATTTAAAGAGCCTTAATACTAAAAAGCCATTTAGTCAGTTAACCCAAAGTACAAGTAAAGAATAAGGTGATTTTTTTAAATAGTCCAAGAATCTCAAAAAGAAACTGTCCAATTTGGATGATACTAAATAACTTCTAAAAGAAAGCTATGCTTTTTTACACTAGTTTCTTTTCTACTAATTTTGTAAATTACTCAGAGTTTACATTGGCAGAGCTGGAAATTGCTGTTGCTACTTCAGTGAGATATACAGGCAAAGAAATAGGAAACCTTGCTATAAAAAGCATGTGATGATTATTCATGCAAGTAGATTTCTCAATAAGTAAAACATTAAGTTTAATTTCTGTGCATGTAATTCTCATGGCTGAAGAATATTTTCATCTATCATTTTAGTGCACCATGAGGCAGTATTTGATTTTTCCATAAAGGTTAGTGCTTAACCAATTAAGCCTTTTCTTAAGGTGATTCAAAGACCTGTCAGTAAGCTGAACATTTCGGAACTGGCACAGTCAGTCCAGGAAAAAACATGTCTGGGTTTTTTTTATTAACCAGCTGGACATAAAATGACCCACCTGTAACTTTCCCTGTGCCTTGCTTATTCCTGCCCTGACACATTCCGACTGGCTCGCTGATTTGTCCCTTCTATTAATTTTTTTTGATCATACTTATGATCACTTATGTTTTTAAAGGAATAAAATACGGTGTATGAATCAGTTCTGAATATCTGTCCTGGAAAATTACCTGTCACAATTAAAGATGCCACCTCAGTGCTTGCTAGGTCGTCCCCAACAGGACAGTAGTACTTGAGTCCTTTACATCAGCCACTGTTGTTCAAAGGCCAGTATCAGTTTAAATTATCAGTATCAATGTCCTTTGGGGAGGGGAAGACAGGCAAACACAGATACCATAATACCATGAATCTCATTTTAAAGTCTGCTCAGCAGACTTTAATGAACTCCTTTCCATTTTTTTTTAATAGCCTAAAGTAGTCTTCCCTTGCTTTCCTCATCCCTTCTGAAGTATTCCTTTTCCCCATTCAGACTTTTCATATCCTAATTCTTCCTTTCCATCTTAATGCTTTTCAGTTGCAGACTGTGATACAGACATTCAAACTTAATTGTGGCCTATTTATATGATGGGAAGAAAGAAAAAACAACAAAAAAAAAAACCACACACAAAATCATTCAAAGAGTGTCTGACAATTTAACATCAAGGATGCTCTGACAAGGTGATACATAAAGGTGCTGCTTATTCCTTATGACTCTTAAATCTACCGGAGTTTATATAGGAATGTTTCAATTATTCAATAGCATACTTAATTCCAGATTTGAGTAATAGTGCTCTGGTACGTGTGTTTTGATTTTTAGGTCATGGCCCTGTAGTACGTGATGCAAATACTAGAATCCAAAACTACATTTCTCACCGAGTTGCACGTGAGCAGCAAATTCTAAATGTGTTCCAGAAGAATACTGGAAAATCATACACATCCTCAGAGCTTGTAAAGATAGTATACAAGGTAATTGTTGATTCAAAGTTTTTAGAACATTGAGGTTATGTTCATAAAATTGTACATAACAGTTGAAGTCTTTGAGTGAAGACCATGGTGGCTTCTTAAAAGAGAGAAAAAAAAATTCTGTTTGTTCGGGGTTCACTTATGACTGCATCTAAATTGTATTGCTTAAGCACTTCACTGGAGTGAGACCCAGATGATTCTTACGAACTTCTTATTTCACTACCTAGATGGCCCTAAGCACAGTTTCATAGGATGAAGCAAAAATAAAGTTGTACAACTTGGTTCTGAGTGAGAAGTATAACATGGCGAGTAGTCACTGATTTGCCAAACTGTGTTTGGAGTCTCCTGAAGACTGGTTAGAACTTCTAGTTCCTGATTTATGTCTGCAGGAGATTGCAGGTAAACTGCAGCTCTGCAGAGATGGATGTTGCTACTCAGAAGTTGGATAGCTTGTGTGTCATTAGACAGGAGTAAGAGTATTTTTTTTGCTACTTCATCATTCTTCATGTAACCTCCGCAATCCCTGTTGTGTGGGGGTTGCCCCTCCTAGCAAGCAGAGATGAGAGATACAGCATTTACTTAGGAGGAAGATGACAAAGTTGCCAATGGCTTTGGCTTGTGCACAGATCTGTAACAGCTTCACAACTCGTTTTCCATGGTTCTGCCAACCTCCAGTTTCCAAAAGAATGAGTACGTCAAATTGAATGTTTTGCAGTGCTGATGTACCGTTACCTGTGGCAATTCAGCTTCTGCAGTTTTCCAGCCTGATCAACTAGTTTTTAAGTATACAGCCATTGTCATGTTTCTGTAAATCACAAATCACTTGTCCTATATATATAAAATTTTTTTCAATACTACTAAAGCTTTATATTACAAAGAAAAGTGCGTGCTTTCAAAGTATTTTAAAGGTTCACAATTTATTTAACTAATTTTCTAGTGAATTTTCCTACCATGCTCATATTATTTAGAGAAAAACTTTTTAATTTTCAAAAACAAAAAAAAAAGCTTTACTTTTAGGATGATAGAGCTGGAGAGGGGGATTTTGAGTAATCATTATAGATGCCACAGGCAGGGACATCTTCTACTAGACCAGGTTGCTCAAAGCCCTACCCACACTGTCCTTGAACACTTCCAGGGATGGGGCATCCACAGCTTCTCTGGGCAACCAATGTTACTATTTTTTACCTAATGAGCATTGAAAAATTTTAAGAGATGTTTTGTCCTCCTGAAGCTGTTATATTTTTTAATTGTTCACTTATTTACAGACACTAATCACTGCAGGATATTTAAACCTATGCAAATGTTGTTGTGGAATAGAAGTGATAGGTTTATGTGGAGAAATGCATCTTAAATTTGTCTTTAAAAATACTCAACTACACTGACAACCCAGACAAAGCTCAGAAGAGCACAGTCTTCTCAATGCTGGCCAAAGTTTGCATCATACAAACGGATAATGCAAAAAATGAGCAAAGTAAACAAAAATGTGTTGTTAGACTGATAGTTTAACTGGTGTAAAAATTATTTACTCATCTCTGTTTTCTGTTACTAACTGAATGTTCAACATGGTAATTCAGAAGAGGAAAATATGTGGTAATAAACCATGAGTTCCATATATTGAAAAAATAATTGATGAATATTTAAACAAACACAACATGCATATTGTTTGTTCCCATTAGGAAATCCCTGAAAATTTACTTCCAGCAGCAGAAAAAAACCTCCTAGTCCACTTGAAGAAGCTGGAAAAAGAAGGAAAAGTGTGTAAGTTGTGGATGAGGGGTAAAAGGAGGGTCATTTTTATTTTCATGTTTTATGTACTGTTACTCATTTTATTATAGTGCATTATTTTATAGGGGGGAAAATGCAATTTGTTGCAGTAGCTTTGTTTCAGTTTGAAGTAGAGTGATATACAAAATGATTGTACAGTATTTTCAAACTTTTAGAAAATATTCCATGAAGTATTTATTACTTGCCTAGAGCACAGTGCATATACCTTTAAATTTTTATTTACAGCATACCATAGAATACATTCCTAATGCTAGCATTTATATCTTTGTATATTTTCTGGAATTCATACCTAAATATGCAAGTACATAGCATTTTATGGGTTTACATTTAAGTTTCTGCATTTCTTAAATGCATATTTTTGTGTGTATGTGTTCTAGAGATGTTTAACATCAAGCAGTGTAAATTTTTACGATTTCTGATTAGTACAGTACCTAAGCAGAGCAACTGTATTTAGTTTACTGTTTCTATTTCTGTAATGGCATGTGCATATGGAAATGTTATTCAGACAGAAGCTAAGGAATATATTTCTTCCTGTTCATCACATAACTGCACCCAGGACTGTCTACTTATAAGTAAATAACGACACAAATATTTACAGCTGTTTCAGATTTTCAGCATTTACCAGCCTGAATAACAACATGAAATTAGTGGGGTTTTTTTCAACTTAGACCTTCTGTTTATTTTAATGATAAAACAGCTACTAGATACTAATTGAACAACTGAAACTTAATTTTTGTAATAATAGTAACCTTCTTTTTATTCAAAGAAAATAGACTAGTGTCACACAAACGCAGTTATTACTCAAGTTCAGAAAGTGTTGTCTTTAGACTTACTTGTGCAGAACGCCAGAGAAGCTTACCAGCACGATACTGCACCAGCTTTTAAATATTATCTCAATTCTTGGTTATTAATATGCATTACTGACCTACACGTTTCTGCACTTTGGCTCCAGCAGATTCCTCAAGGGCATTGGGCGCTGTTGACTGGTTTATCCCTTCCTTTCACTACCAAAGTAGTTCAAGAAACAGCATTTTCTGTTTAGATCAAGTAGTGGATAAATTAACTTTCCCTTGAAAGGTAGACTTGCAGTCTTCCCTACAAAAACCTGTGTGCATCTTGAATGTCTGGGAATTACTTTGTCTGAGCTAGCTACAGACTTAAGGTTTTATTTGTTTGTTTGTTTGTTTTCCCAAAAACACCATTTCCGTGTTTACTGAACAAAAATAACTCAGTTTTCCTCAGAAATCACTTTTCAGTTTTGAAGAGACAGCAGATACAGTCAGTTATTTGTTCACAAAGAATCAATTACTTGAAAATATTGATATGTTTAAATAACTAGAGGAGATACTAATCAGAATAATTGTGACTCTTACTCCAGTTGGAAGTCCTTGATTCAGGTGTATGCTCCTGTTTTCCAGGAAGGACAAGAAACGCCCTTTGAAGTTTTTTGGTTTGGTTTGGTTTTTAAACTTCAGTTTGTGCTCACAGAGAAGGAGGAAAACAATCTCATCATAACACTTGGGGTGCTGATCTCTGCAGTTGCTGAATTTTTAAATATAAGCTTAGGCCCAGGTCTATGGTAAATGCTTAACATCACGTGACCTTTGTCCATTTTTCAGTTCAAATTAAGGACGTCTGTTAGGGAAAACTGATTCTGTTGGTTCTGGGCACATAGCATGCCAATGCTCGTGTGCTCTCATGGCACTTGCTCATTTGATTTTTATGTCCTTTGATGTCCTTTCCACCTACTCAGAGTTGCAGCATTTCAAGTTTTGTTCTCATTGTGGAAGACTTGAGTTGTAGACGTAACACTGTCTGCTTAATTTTCACAAAATATTTTTCCCAAGAAACATCTTGTCAGTATCGCTAAGGAGTGTGACAGGCACATTACAACCTTATAAGAGAGTTACTCAGTGCAAATGATGGCCATATGCTGTCTGCTGCAGTCATTAATTTACTGCTTCATACTGGGGACTGCGGTTTTTCTTAGTACATGACTTTTATAACTTCAGTTGGGAGTGACACTGCCTTTACAGATCTCCTTTTCTTACTTGAAACAGAAAAATAATGTCTTGTAAACAGGAGCACAGCGCAATATGTGCATGAAAGCTTTCTCCCGTGTTTGGATATAATTTGGTCATTATATCATTGCTGATGAAGAGACAAAAATAATTTGAATGTTCTTAATTTAGCAGCACAGACTTTTTTTCCCTCTAAAGTTTAAAAATTTCAGAAAATAGAACAAGGGCTCTTCTACCTCAGATTTCTTAATATCTAGAAAGTTTAATGTTCTGAACTTTAAATAACTAGAGTATTATTAAACCCTTTTTATTAATCTCTCTTGATGTTGCTAGGTTACATTGTGAAACAGTTAATGTTTATCACCTTCCATGAAAACTGAACATTGGCCTGAAGGGAAGTATTTCAGTAGCTTTAATAAAAAATTACATGTCTACATACATGTGCATGTACAGGTTTAAGTTTGAGATAGTCTAATGTTTATAAATAGAATCTTAAGGGTTGGTTTGTGACTAATTTGGCCTTTTTTTTCTTAACAGTACGTGACGAAACTCCCACCTTCAGATGGAAAAACAATTTATAAGTTATGCAAGATTGCTCAAGAATGTATTTAATCTGCACAATTGCTGTATGAAAAAGTATACTGATGAGCTCAGCCTATATGAAAAATAAAAACTAATTTTTACTTATTTTTTTTTAAATCAGTAACACAGTTTTAAAGCAATGTTACAGTCAGTTAACTAATGTTTTTCATATTCTACTTCATAGGAATTTTAAAAGTATCCTGATAGGTACTGAGTTAATAAAATGGAATGAGCGTGAAGAACCAAATCATACCTTTGTTACAAAATGCCCAGTTTTATCATCAGTGGCAGAAGACAAATAGCAAGGTCTTATGAACTTAATATTATGATGTCATAGAGCAATATAATAAACTTTATAAATCAGATATATAAAAAACTGTAGTAAAAAGAAGAGAAAATATGTTATTCTAAACCTGTTTTCATTTGCTTGTGCTTCTCAAGAAGTGATTTTCTAATAAGTTATCTGTACATTCTAAAAAACCAAGTTATTTCTATTAATAGATGTAAATACTGGGGGTTATGTTCCTTTTCTAATTTAGCTGACTGTGCTCATCTTTGCTGGTTGTTCGCTGCAATAGATTTGAACAAATACTGAAAGTAATTTCAGGCTTCTCTGTTTTCTGGTGGAAACACCATTTCTATGGAATTCATTCAGAGGATTCAGTAATTTTAACTAACCAGTAATTTTAACTAACCAGTCAAAAATGTCCTGAGTTGGAGTATATTCTTAAATTCTTTATCTTCTAAGATTCTGCAGGAATGTAATTTAAAATCTATATAAATTGAGATACGTATTACACACCATATGAAGTTAACTTTATCTGTGACATCATAACTAAAAATCTTCAAGTTTTGCTGTTAAATCCACTTAAATTACAAATATTTTAACTAAAGGTTGTATTTGGTTGTAAAATACTGTATAGTGTATTAAAATACGATGTTTGATGATTAATTTAAACTGTGAGTTCCCTTCTCTGTGTAGCTTACACCTGAAGAATAGTGCATAAATGTTGGCATTACTTTGTGTGTTCCAAGTATGTGGCATTTAATGATACATACACTTCTTTTGATGTTGGCTCAACCTTAAAAAACAAAAGCAGGTATGAAATGTTTTGAAACAGGGACAAATATATGTCCCTTAAAACCTTTCACCATTCCATCCTGTACCCTCATTTGTGAAATATGAATATGTTTGGGTATGTCAAGACATGTCGTCATACTTAGCATTATTTTATGGAGTTGATGGGATTTGTTCTGATCAGATGAGACAAATCCAAAACAAAAATGCTCCCGAGAACAGCATCCAAAACTGAAATCATATTCTGAAGTAGCAGCCAGACCCCTTCAGAAGGGAAATAATTACTTTCTGCTAAAATTACGCTGTTTGCAAACTTCATTGGTCTGACTTTTGGCCACATCATGGCATGCACTCACTTTTAACTTTTGGTGCAGTGCTGTTTTGAGGTCTTTTTCAGGTCTCCTAGTTTTCCTTTCTTTTGTATTTTCCATTTACTTGCATTTTTCCATTTCAGACTCTTTTTATTCCTTCCCCACACAAACATTTTTTTTCAATTCCTTTTGGATTCTTTCTCTCTTCATAGTTACTCAGAAGTTTTCTCATGGACTTCTTGCCATTAATAATTAGTTCTTCTGTAGCTATTTCATGAATTTGTAGTTTTCCATTGTTAGGAATAAAAGCATAACTATCACTACTTTCTTTTTTAAAAATCACATGCTCTTACATCGTTTTGCTTCAGGAAAACAGAAATATCAGTGAAATGACACAGTTTTCTGTCATCAGTGAAATGACACAGTTTTCTGTCATGAGGTCTGAAAACCTAAGACAATAGGAAACCAGTATGAAGAGGTGATATTTCATTCTCTTTTTGATCTAAAGAAGAAATCTAATGTTGCCTAACCATTTTCTTCTGTTTTACTGTAAGTTTTTAAATACAGGGAAATGGCTTTAGAATCCAATTAAAGAATTGTTGGAACTTGCAGACAGCGAAGAAAGTAAGAGAATACAAATCAGAGAACTTCATATTCTGTGCTGTGCCACGACAAATGCCTGACATCTTCGAAAGAAAATGAGGGAAAGGGCAGTTTAACCAGACAAGTCATTAATGATTGTGTATTGTGTCTTTGAAATATTAAGAGCAGAGTTTGCACTGTTACTAAGATGTATATGTAATAAAGGGTGCTTACCTTTGCTATGTCATGTTGTAAAGGTCTCAAGACTCCTTGTTGATTATGTCAGACAGAATGTTTATTTAAAAATGGTGGTAATGTAAGCTATAGGCTGTGTATGTATAAAAATGGGGATTAGCCTATTCACATCCCTTATGTGAATATGTTCATCTGTGCAGAATGCATTGAAAGTTACAGATAAAAACAAGAGAAGGAGCAATTTCTGTCTCAACAGGCTAGAAGGGCAAAAGTCATTTGCTGTGTTAACTTTCTAAAGAGCTGAGGACAGAAGCTGGAGGAAGCACAGGTTGTGTTTCCAGCCTTCCTGCCAGCTCATGTGAAGATTCTGTTCTGAGGGACTGCATCATTTATTAGGTTTAAGACTTAGGAAAGAAGTTTGATGGTAGTTATAACCTTTTTGAGGTTTTCTATTCTGTTTCTTGCTAACTTGCTTATTTAGACTTCTTTTAAAATTGTTCTTGGTTCTGTCTTTAAGCATGTTTGATGACAAGTGAATTCAGGAAAGGTTCCCAAATAGGAGGAGTGTTGTGTTTGTGTCTTACAGCTGAAGGTGCCATAATACTCTTCCTCCCAAAGTCTCCACAGTCTTGCCACCTGATACGCTTTATTTGGTTTTCTTGGTGAGGTTTTGGGCACACACATGCACAGGTGCTAGTGGCTTCCCCTGATTCAGGTGATAGGGAACTTCTTTCCTAAATCATGTGACTATTTTGAAGCCTAGTGTTGCAAAACATGGATATGTAGCAAACATAGACCAGCCACCTACTGGCAAGAAGCAGAGTGAAGGCTGACTGTCTCGTGTTTCAGATTATCCCACTTTGCCTAGACAGCTGTCAGAAACTGAAACAGTTAATGGTTTATGCATTCTAGGATTGCCAAGGGCCTTTTGCAGGCTTCTGCAGGACTTTTGCATTATACCTCTGATGGCTCATCAAAGCCCATCGCCCCCCTGCCAATCTTGAAAGGTGGGAAAAACCCTTTTGACCAGGCAGGCCCCTCAGGAAAACTCAGCACAGCCCCAGGAGATGTTGGAGGCTCCTGGCATGGCCTGTGACACTAACCATGGATATAGTAACTCATAACTTCTTTGAGTGTGGGGGCTCCCCTCCTTCACCCCCAGCAGATCAAGGCCACCACTTCAACTGACAGACATGGAAGCTGCAACTACCAAGTTTCATCGCTGGACCCCCTGAGCAGTGACTATAGACATCTTTCCACTCTCAGCTTTTCTTTCCCTTACTCTCCCTTACCCTTATCCTGTCTTTCCTTTCTCTCCCTTATGCATTTTCCCCCCCAGGGGTTATCCCTATGATAGATAATATAGATGACAACACCCAAAATGCAAATATACCTGTTAAAACAAGATTGTTAAAATAAACCCTACCTATATATGTTTTCAGACACCGATTATTCAGTGTTGTTTCACTCTAATCCACCCCAAGGGAATTATTGATAAGAACCTGGGTTACCCCCCTCCCCTTTTTCTGGGGTGGGTCGTAACAACAGCCATATGAAATTTCATGTGGCAGAAGAGGGAACTGCTGATAAAAGGAAGGTGTGGAAACTTCAGATGAAGTGACAGGTTGCCTCAGTATAGCAGTTTATAGACTGTATCATCAGGAAAAACACAAAACCGAGCTGAAACCAAGGGTCTCAGTGCTTGTATGACAGGACATCCAGCCAAATGCTCAAGGCACTTGCTGATTACAGCTTGGGAAAGCACGTCTTGTCCCAGTTAAGTCCTGTTTGTTATATTCTGTGGAGATGAGATGACCTAATTTCTTTTAAGTCTGAGGTGGGACATTGATGCAAACATACTGCAAAAAGGATTCCAATTTTTATCCCAGCCCAATGTACTTCACAGGTGCAGTATGTTACATCTATGACTACACTGTATGCAGTCAGGGATATACTTTCACATTGTTATTGTTGAAATAGTGTTCTGCTTACTTTAGAGTAACAAAATACTGGTGTAGCCAGGGGATTAAGAGATTTCTAGGGTATAAAACATCTTGGGACTGAAATATGAATGCTGCTTCTGTTTAATCTTAAGAAAAAAATACAGCCATGCAAAGAAATTTTCTGTAGCCTTTTCTGTATTTTTAAGTATCCAAGATCATCTCTAGACACCAAATATATCTGTCTGATGATTTATGAAATTCACAGGAAACCTCTGAGCATCTACACAGCTGATGAAGATGTTTTATAGTTGAAAAACCCGGAGATCAGTCTGGTCCATACAGTAGGAAGAAATGAACCTATCACCAACAGCTCATACAATATATTTGATGCATGCTCTCAATTCTGGCAGGGTGAAGCAATACCAACCTTAATTTCTTACCCTAATTTCTTACACTGTATTCATTAGCTGCTGGCAGCAATAGCCATTCTGACAACACTAAATTTCAGCTGTGAATTAGTCATTTTCTTGATCTTTCTTTTTCATATATCCACGGGGAGTATCTGCCACCCAGAAGCTTTAATAAATAAACAGAACATGAATTTTGGAGGGGATGAAGGACAGCTGAATTCAGCCTGGATGTCTTCCACATCAGCGTTTATTTCTCAGACCTCTTCATTCATCCGTTTAAACCAGGCGAGAGCCTCCTGTGACTGGCTTGTTTTAATCTACTTCTAATCTTCTGTTAATGTCTCTTCCTCCTGTACTTCTCGGTTAGCTTTTCTTCCCCTCTCCTTTCTTGCACTTGGATTCCTTGTTACTGTAATTGTTACATGTTACTTCTGGCTGCACACTACAGTGTGAGCAGAGGGACAGCGGGAGCCGCTGCCGGCCTGGTGACATCGGGACCGTGCGGCTGCGCCTCGGCCGTACCTAGAACGAGCCCGGCAGGCGTCCTCCTTGCACCCTTCAGGAGCCCATCTTACGGCTTGCGGGGGTCTGGTGACCACCAAGCTTAGCCTCGGAGAAGGAAAGAGTGAAAAAAAAAAAAGTGAAGCTGGATGGCGGGGGTGCCGAGAGGGAGTGGAGTCCGACCCGGCTCCGTGGCACAGCCCGAAGCGGGGGCAGCCCGCTCTATTTAGGTCGCGACCCCGGCGGGATCCCCAGTCATTTTATGTCGCCGCTATCCCGGTGGGAGAGAAGCTGGGCCCGTGCCCAGCGAGGGTTTCGGGCTACGGCCAGCGAGTACCCGGCCGCGCTGCCAAGGACGCAGCACCTGGACGCTGCCCAGGTGGCACAGCACAGCACGGCACGGCACGGCATGGCACGGCTCTGCTGACGAGTCCCGGCCATGCCGCGTCCCGGGGCCGCTCCCGGGTTGGTGGGTTCGAACTGCCGCCCCCGGGCGGGCGGAGCGCGGGCGGAGGCGCCGCCGGCCGGCAGGGGCGCTGCGGAAGGGGGAAGCGGAGCGGCGGCCGTGCCATTCCCCGGCTGCGCGGTCGCCTCCTCCCCCTCCGCCTCTTCCTGGCCGCGGCGAGCGGAGCTGTGCTGGCAGCGGGGAGGCGGCGGCGCCGGCGCCCAGCTCCCGGCCCGCCATGGCGATCCGCAAGAAGAGCAACAAGAACCCGCCAGTGCTGAGCCACGAGTTCATCGTGCAGAACCATGCGGACATCGTGTCCTGCATGGCCATGATCTTCCTGCTGGGGCTCATGTTCGAGGTGAGGCGGCGCCAACGCCCCCGCCCGGGGTCCTCGTCCCTCTTCCCCCTGCTCCGCCGGGGGCTCTCGGTGCTGGAGGGGAGGGAGGGAGCGGGAGGGCGCAGGAGTCCCGATGCAGCGAGGGCCAGCGCCACAGCCTCCCGGCGCACCTGCCCGCCGCCCCACGATGTACGCGGGAAAGGAGCCGACTCCCGCCCCGCCGCACGGCCCGACCGCCAGAGCGGGCGTCCTCCCTGCGGTGCATCCTCGCTCCGCCGGGGGAACGCCCTCTTCCTCGGCTCGGAGAGGCGCAGCCTGCGGCTGCCGCCAGGACCCGAGTCCCGCTTCCCCCCGCCGCCCTGGGAGGGAGGGAGGGAGGCCGTGCGGGGCCGGGCAGGGGGTGGGCGCGCTGCGTCCCTTGGCGGCGGCGGGGAGTTCCTGCGGTCGGCGGGGCTACGTGGCAGACGGGAGAGGGAGGAGGAGTGCGCGGCACGGCGAGGAGGGGGCGGGGGGCGAGGCCCGGGCGCCACAGCCGATCCCCCGCTCTTTGTGTGGCGGCCCCGCCGGCACTACGGCTCCCGTCGGGCGGCGCGGCGGGAAGGGAAGGCAGCGGTGACGTGTCCTTACAGCCGCCCTCGGGTCCCCCTGCCCGCGCCCCCGCGCTGCCCGCGGAGCATCCCAGCACTCCAGGCGGTTCGAGGCGCCGCTCGGATGGCGCTGGTCACCCCTCGCTGCCACCTCCCGCCTCGGAGGTGGGCCGAGGTTTGGCAGCGGCAGAGGGGAGCTCGGCCTGAGGGCCGGCCCTGCTGCGGGCCAGGCGCTCTCTGGGAACCCATGTTGAATGCAGATGTTTTAAAACGTGCCTTTTTGGCTCTTCTCGATTACCTTCTGAGAGAACTGAAAAGGTGACTTACCTGTGTGACTGCCAAAATGTTGTCAATGATCTGAGGTCATTGAGATCACTGAAACTAAGATCATCAGAGTAAGACAGTTCATTGGCTAAGTGTTTCTGGGTTTTTGGTATTTTAGACGTTTGTTTAGACACGTATTTGGGCTTTATTTTAGATATTTGTTTAGGACTGTGGACCTTTTTGTTATATGGGTGGTTTTCAGAATAGTTTTATGCAGCCATTGGTACTGCTCAGCACTAAAGCCCAGTGGAGTTAGGAAAACCAGATACATATATATGTATGTATATATATATATACCCAAAAAGTAAAAACAGGGCAGACCAACAAAGGTGTTACATTTGAGTTTGCTATTAGAAATCACCAAGACACCACCAATATGGTGGTTTTCTGGGGAATGACATTAAAGAGGTGGACCTAAACATTTATGTGCCTACTTTAGAGTTACTGTATTAACAGTATTATTGATAGGGTTGGAAGTTTGGGGGGGGATTGGATGTGT